CCTTGTGTCGCCCTAGTTGGGCCTGTGTCTAACACTTAAATGTGTCTCACCGATGTAAGCACCCGATTGCGACAACACAGTAACATCACCTCCGTAGTGGCAGCAACCAAATTGCTAAGGTCTGAACCAGTCATGGAGGCCAAGCTTCCTACCCATTCCCTGGAGATGGTGCCTCTTGGTCACAATCCAAGCACAGGACAGATCAGATATTGCTGCTGCAGTCACATGCTGTATTTCACACAGGAACCCTCCCCCTCCCCAAATGCTTTACCTGTTCTGAAGATAGGAGGGCTCATTCTTCAGGGCTGTCAAACATCTTTCACTACCATTAAACTAACCTTAAAATTCTTCTGGCTGTTATCTGTGAATAGGAGAACTACAGGTCTTGACAACAGATTACCCCATCCACATATCCCTTTGGCTCTTTACAGATTAGTCAACCATGAGAATTGCTTTCACCACTAAGTAGTTTACCAGAGCCAAAGCCAAGGACAGAACATTTGCAAAGGAGAGAACAGGCACCGATTTCCTGCACTTGTTACATGTGGTGGTTCCTAAACCTTCCCAAGCCGCAAGAAGTTTCCCTTTTCCTTTCTCCCTCTTCCCAAAATCCAAAGAGGTCCTTTGTGCCCTTTTCCAGGAGGCTAATTCCACGTGTCCTCTTCACTGTGGCAGTCCCTGGGCTACTATTAACCCACCCAGCATATGCCCCTCCTCTGCCCCATCCCAGGGTTATGTGAGACCTAGACAGACCACGACAGCCCTCATCACATCACTGGTGCCCTTTCTATATCATTGGCAACATGTTCCTGAGGGTGGAGAGCATAAGTGCCCTCAGGAGGAAGATCACTCCGCTCATTCCTAAGGTAGATTGTTTTAACCAGAAGAAATCCTCATCTGGCATTCATGTCATCATCCGGTTAAAATTCAAAGCAGACACTAGAGCACATAACATGGATAGGGGTGGGGAAACACTCAGACCTTCTTCCACTCCACCACAGACAGTTATACAGATTCCCTTGCCACTCCTGGAAGTGCAGTACCAAGCAATCTGCTACTACAACATAGCATCAAAACTTCTGTCTCTCTCACACCACAAACGCAAGGAGCTTGACACACTCAGCTGAACCTGCCATATTGCACAAGTTTCTCTCCCCCCATCACAGTGAGCTGGTGATCTGCAGTTCAGAACAGGCAGCTTCCTCCTGATAAGGCTGCTCCTTCCTGGAAACAGTAGATATAGCTGCCTTATCTCAGGGAAGAGAAGAGGCCACTTTTGCTAAGTAGCAAAGTTCTCACCTTGAAAGCCTCTCTCTTGATTGGCACAGAACACCCAAGGTTGGGGAACTTTTAATCAGACGCCTGCATAATTACTAAATCATTATTAATTATATTGGAGAGCAGAGACCTCAGAAGAAAGGCAAAGCAAACAAAGGGCCCAATGAAGTCTCCTCTGCTGTTGGAAAAAATTAGTAATTAAAAGTCATGAGCGCACTGAAGAGTGAGGGAGCAGTGTCACAGTCAGCGTTCAGAACTTGCGAGTGACTTGCATGCTAAGGAGCAGGCCCTCATCCCCAGGGAAATTACAGAGCATTGCCTCACAAAACAGCAAGTACAGAAATGAAAGAACAGCTCCTGTTAACTGATAGCTTTATTCATGCACAGAATAAGGATTTGAGACAGGGACCCCACCCGCCACCCACTGGGGCTCCCATAAGACCTCCCCTCTGCATGTCTCTGGCCAGAGCTCCCTCTAACCTCCCCAACCCCACAGAGCTCCCACAGTGCAAGGAGTAAGAGAGAACAAAGCCTCAGGTCTATCCATTCCAGCCTACATGTCAGTGAGTCAATTGCTCGACTGGAGCAATCCCTGCCCCCAGGACTCTTGCGACACAATTGCATAGGACAGCAGACATTTCACCTTGATAACCTAATCACACTATCACCCTCTCAAGATGAGGAATCTACACCAGCTAAAGACATGCTATTAGCACTGAGGCCAAACATGTCCTAGGAAACATTGAAATCATGGTCTGCCAGGGAAAAAAAAGCAAAGCCAAATGTATGGATTTAGAGAGATCCCACAACCTGAATTGGACAGGCCTAGACCTCACAATAAACCAGAGGAGTATCAGGCTGGCTCTAAAATCCAATCTGAGAAAGGACTGTGGAAATCTATCTAAACCATAAAAAAAAAAAATATACTAGGCAAATACAACCTCACTAAAGCCACTGCAAGAACTATTTGACAGAATAATTCAACTCATCTGGGACCAAAGACTAGGACTTAACAGCAAACTACATTGAATTCCCCTATAGTAAATCCTGCAAATGAACTAGGTGGACAGAGGAACTCATCCAACAACAGTTGCAGAGCAGAACAAAGGCAACTGCCTCTGCTGAGCAGTATACAAGAAAGATACTGAACTGCTGATACCATTTCAAGCAGCAGTTAAAGGCCAAAATTAGACATTTGATGAAAGCACACAAACTACTCATTCAAAAACAAGTAAAGCTAGAGACACTAGGCCCAACCTTAAAGTTCACAACATCCTGGTAAGACAACGCACAAGTTATAAACTGGCTCTTCATTCTGGCAGCGCGCGAAACCATAGTGAAACACACAGAACACAGGCAGACACTCAAATACAGTCTCAGCTGTGTACAATGTACAAACTTGGAGGAGCAAGACACTAAAAACTTAGGGAGGACTCATACTGCAACCAACATGGCTGAGTAGAGATCAAAACCAAAAGACATCTTCTGCTCTACTGCTCAAACAACAAAGAACAAGAAAAAGACACTGCAAGTTATTATAAATAGTAAGATTTCCCATTTAAAAAAGTGAAAGAAGAAAATAAGCAGAACTGTGGCAGAAATAACACTGCAGTATGTGGCAGCCTGCCACGGAGTTAAAAACAAACACTACCAAATTGCTGCATGCTAAAAGCAAACCCAGCACAGGCAACTATTTGATCATACTTAAGGCTACGATTTAGTCACGGAATCCGTGCAGGTGGCAGGGGTACACCGGAGCCCCCAGGTGCTGCAGGTGGCTCCTAGTCCCTGCGCAGCTGCCCTCCTCAGGCCATGTAGGGACCCACAGATCCCCATTTTGTCACCAATATTTTTAGTAAAAGTCAGGGGCAGGTCACAGCTTCCATGAATTTTTCTTTTTTGCCCGTGACCTGTGATTTTTACTAAAAATTAAGGCTGTCAAGAAATTTGCTGCTGGCGAGCAGTGCTGGCTTCAGAGCTGACTCCTGAGCAGTGCAGAGCTTGAGGGGGCATCAGCCTTACCCGGGAGAGGCGTGGAGCTTTTTTGGGGGGGGAGGGGGAATCATCCTCAGCCAGGGGAGGCACAGAACTTTGGGGGGGGGGGAGGAGGGGACAAGCTCCATAGCTTGGGATGGGGGTCAGTCCCAGCCCTGGGCGGCATGGGGCTCGGGAGGGGGAGGGGGGGTCAGCATGCATCCATGCTGATGATGGGTTCTGCTCGATAACGATTAAAAGCACAGCGGACCGACACATGTTCATTTTCATCATCTGAGTCAGATACCACCAGCAGAAGGTTGTTTTTCCTTTTTTGTGGTTCGGGTTCTGTAGTTTCCGCATTGGAGTGTTGCTCTTTTAAGACCTCTGAAAACATTCTCCACACCTCGTCACTCAGATTTTGGACAGCACTTCAGATTCTTAAACCTTGGGTCAAGTGCTGTATCTATCCTTAGAAATCTCACATTGGTACCTTCTTTGTGTTTTGTCAAATCTGCTGTGAAAGTAAGCGTTCTTAAAATAAATATGTGCTGGGTCATCATCCGAGATTGCTATAACATGATATATATGGCAGAATGCAGGTAAAACAGAACAGGAGACATATAATTCTCCCCCAAGTAGTTCAGTCACAAATGTAATGCTTTTTTTTTTTTTTTTTAAATAAGCATAATCGGCATGGAAGCATGTATCTAGAATGGTGGCTGAAGCATGAAGGGGCATACGAATGCTTAACATATCTGGCACGTAAATACCTTGCAACGCTGGCTACAAAAGTGCCATGCGAACACCTGTTCTCACTTTCAGGTGACATTGTAAATAAGAAGCCGGAAGCATTATCTCCCATAAATGTAAACAAACTTGTTTGTCTTAGCAATTGGCTGAAACAAGAAGCAGGACTGAGTAGACTCCTAGGTTCTAAAGTTTTACATTGTTTTGTTTTTGAGTGCAGTTATGTAACAAAACAAAAAATCTACATTTGTAAGTACACTTTCATGATAAAGAGATTGCACTAAAGTACTTGTATGAGGTAACTGAAAAATACTATTTCTTTTGTTTATTATTTTTACAGTGCAAATATTTGTAATAAAAAATAAAGTGAGCCCTGTTCACTTTGTATGCTGTGCTGTAATAGAAATCAATATATTTGAAAATGTAGAAAAACATCCCAAAATATTTAATACATTTCAATCGGTATTCTATTGTTTAACAGTGCGATTAATCGCGATTAATTTTTTAAATTGCAGTTAATTTTTTTGAGTTAATTGCGTGAGTTAACTGCCATTAATCGACAGTCCTAGTTTTTACTTTAAAAATGCAGGGATGAGAACTACATTACTTTCTGTAGCCTCATCTCTTCCCGCCCTCTGGTGGCGGTTTATGTTACTGCGCCTGACCAAACAGGTTTTTCGGAGCAGCTCATGATGCCTTCCAGCCCAGAGGGTCTGCGATTAACGTGTGTTAATTGTGCTGTGCGTTAATCGCAGGTGTTAATGGTAGTTAATTGACAGCCCTATTAAAAATATCATGAAACAATCTTAGCCTTAATCATACTAAACAAACCTGAACTCAGTCTATTTTTGCTAGGGTACATCTGGCCCTCCCCACCCCCTTTGGAACTCTGGTGGCTCTCCAAGGCCCCTTCAGTGCCACAGTCTTATTGCAGCATTTGGTTTTCTCCTGCTTGGCACTCAGCATCAGTCCCAGTCCCCTGTGTGACAGCAACATACCTGTTGAAGATATCACTAGACACTTTCTGCAAATACTGAAGTGCATCTGCAACCTGATGAATAGCCTCTTCCCTGCGCAAGTCAGGTTGGATCAGAGGGACAGAGTAAGCCTGCCCTTCCAAGAAGTGCTTCTGGGTCACTGTAGCCATTGTGCCTGTGGGAGAGAGTGTGAACAGGTAATTGCAGCATATGCAGCTCCATCTCATCACAGCCTTTATCCCAGAAACCTTATACCTTTACTCTTCTCCTTGACTTAGGCAGACACGAGAGAGAACACCCAGAAACTGGGAAGGAGAGGGCAAGCTAGGCACATCCTAGAACAGCACCATCTAGAAATCTAAAACAGTCTCTTTCATGTAATTAGCCAAAGCCACGGTGCAGTGGAGAGAGAAGGTTTTACTTTGCTTGGATGCTCCTCAGGACAAGGACTGTATCTTTGGTCTAAGTTTTGTACAGCACTCAGCAAATCAGTGCTCAAAATAATTATGCTGAAAACAAAGCATCACATTTCAGAACATAAAATCATTTTATCATCAGACTATGGAAGAACATCCTGGAGGAAGAAGAATTTTTCTCCCCTTTCCCATCCCCAGACAGACTCCACATCTGTACATTTCAGAGCCACCCAATCCTAGGAGTAAAACTTGAAATGTTTTAGTTCACGTTTATACCACAAGAAATCCAGACCACTCGCCTCCTCCAAGTACCAGAGGAGTTATGAAGTTATTGCTCAAACTCACCTCCCCTGATTTGATTACATACGAGTCTCCCATTCTAGCACTAGGGACTGAGACCCACAAGGGCAGTTCATACTCCTGGTGACCCATCGACTCTTCCCCAATACCTATAATGGAAAAACCCTACTTATTTTACATTCCTTTCATGAACAAAGCCTGGATGTTCGTAGCAACTTTTCTGTTGCATTCAGCACACACAGAAGTCTTGGAGTGCCAAAAGTCTCATCAAGGATGTGTATGAGGCCATGTCATCACTGAATCACCCTCACATCTCTACCCCAAGGGCAGTATGGGCCCAGGACAGGATCACCTAAAATTTCCTTAAATGCCCTCATGACAAATGTGTTGGTGTCACCCTGAATTGCTCCCGTAGTTTTCTGGAGGGTCTACCGTGGTTCACTGTACAAGAAGAAAAAACTGCCAGGAACCAGAGGGAGGGAATCACTACAGAAACCAGCTTCTTTGGGCACACTGAAAATGGAAGGCAAGTCTACTCATTACTACTATTTGGGAGGTAGTATGGTCTAATCGAGAAAGCACTATGGATCCCAGGTCTCCTGACCCCATCTCAGCTCTTCCATTAGCCTGTTTTGTGACCTTGGCCAAATCACTTCACCCCATGTCTGTTTCCGGCTTCCTCCCTTTGTGTGTCTTGTCTATTTAGATTGTAATGAACTTGAGGCAAGAATTGTCTCAATGTGTTTGTATAGCACCCAGCACAATGGGACCCAGACTGCACTTGGGGCCATAATACAAGTATTAACTCATTAAAATTCAAAAAGATGCTAATATGGGATGTAAATTAAGTTTAGGAGAAAGATGACAATAAAAAAAAGCCCTTAGCCTTTGTGCTCCCTCTGCTGGTACTGGGAGATATTGCAGTTTTCACATAGTCTTGTTCAGGGACCAGTCTTGTGCAAAGAACACTCTTGGGACCACACACTCTGCTGCTATCAGGGGAATTCCCCCCAATTTGCTCCTGGAGCCTAATTCAGAAGGGATGTGTTAGGTGGTGCAATTACCATATCTGTAGTGTCTATGATGGGTAATTTACATGGCAAGGGCCTGAAGAGACAGTTAGAGCAATTTATAAGAGGATGTAAAGAGATAAATTACAGTGTTTGCGGCACACACCTCAAACCATCTTTCAGCTGCACAACACATGAGTTACACCAAATAACTCTTCCCTCTAGTCACTTCTTGATGGGTAAATTACACATCAGTTCTGAATTTGTTCCCTCAGATCCAAGATTTCCCAACACATATGGTAAGGAAACACTTTCCATTTTCTTGTAGGCAAATCTGATTGTGGGGAAAGTTCACTAGAAGAAGTGGGGAACAGAGGTGTCTCCCTGTAGTCATGGCTGGTTAGTTTGCTAACAAAACCAAGATTAAGTCCAGCCATCGAAACTGCAGACAGCTCTAGAGGAGCAAGACCAATTCTGTTCTGCTTCAGGCATCACAGGCAGGGCTATTAGCCAAGTTCTGAATCCAGAATGTTTAGTGCTGATGATGTTTGAAGTAGAAGACACATCGATTCTCACACTTCTAACCAATGCAGATGGACAGGAAATTATTTCGATTTATAAGCCTAGCAAGTCTGATATGGAATTATCAGAGGAGTAACAAATCTAACTGCAAGATGACATTTTTTGATCACTTTATTGACCATAACTCAACTTCACCTCTTATGCTTCCACAATTGTTCGACTTTGTCAGCCAAACAGGCTGACATCCAGAGATATAAAAGCACTGAGCCATCTCATCGTTGTAGAGCAAGAGGCCCAGGCAGACCTTATAAGCATCAACAAGAATTAGGAAAACTTAAAATCTGATTTGTTCAGAGATCTGTTTAAAATTGATTGTCTCAGTCCAGTTTCCAATTGAAAAGCGTCAACACAAAAAAAGCTAATATTACAAGTAGAATCAAGTTATTGGCACTCAGAAGCCATAAGGGCTACTGTCCAGCTCCTATCACCCCTTTCCAGGAGAAGCAGATTAGTGGGACAAGGTGTGAAAAGCCCGTACTGCCACTATCCCATGGTGTGAAAAGCCCATACTGCCACTATCCTAGCAGCTAGACTACTTCAGTTTCCTGGGCTCTCAACACAACACCTTTCAGCAGAGCCTAATTCTATATCCATCTAATTTATTATATATATATATATATATATATATATATATATACACACACACACACACATACATATACATATATACACACACACATATATACATACACACACAATATAAAAATTATAAAAATAGACATTGTGGGAAGCAGCTAGACATGATCACTTATATGCGAGGTAAGAAAATAAAGCTTTACAAAGAGAAGCATGAGAAATGGAAGAGGCACCTTGAAGCAAATGGACTTGGAAAACCAACATGAAAGGGTTTGTAAAAATGGCTTTTGGCTACTCCCTGTGACTAAAACAAGCAGAGAAAGTAGCAGGTTTTCCGAATGATGCAGGTAGCGGCCTACCACAGCTCTGGCAAAAGCATGAGCTTGTTCTACACAGCTGCTTGGGTCTGCTAGAATGAGAGGAGACTTTAGGCCAAGCACTTCCTTAAATATGAATCTCAAGTGCCTTAGCAGGTGAGGAAGAGAAGTAGACCTTGGCAACCTGATGGGACCTGACTAAAAGTGTCAGGTTTGGGGTGGGCTGGGTAGTCTCTGATCACCTCCTCCTGCCCGTGGGGTCAGTGTGACAGCAGCTGTGTACCCCAGCCCTGCCAGCTGCTGCCGCCTCACTGTGCAGCACGCACTGCGCAATAAGCATGCCGAGTCGCAGTACGTCTCTCTCCGCAGCACTCACAGCATAGCAAGGTAGTGGCAGCAGCATGGGTGGCAGGTATCGTAGGCTGGGGGAGGCTGTGCTTCCCCAAACAGCCTAGCATGGCCCCGCCCACGCTCCACCCCCAGGCCAGGCCCCCTTCTGCGGTTCCCAGTGCTCTGCCCTGGAACAGGCTGGCTGGCCTGCCTCCTGTAGGAACTCAGGGCGGCTGGTGCTGGGGCCGCCCGGCGCACCAGGGCTGGGGGCCCTTCAGCCGCACCAATTGACACACCATGGCTGGCTGCCCCAGAAGGAGAGGGGGAGGGGCAGGGCTTCAGGCACAAGGGGAGGGGCTGGGGGCTAGCCTCCCCCAACAGCCAGGTCACCAGCCGCCCATGGGCAACAGCCAGCAGGAGTGGGCCATGCAGCCACTGAGGCACTGACCCCACAGGTAGGAGGAGGCTGGAGACAAATTGTGGGCACTGGGAGTGGGAAGCCCCCACTCGGACAAGCTTGGGGATGAGACAGTGGCACTGACACATGTTGGGGGAGCAACCCAGGGGCAGGGGGAACCAGCTGTCCTTCAAGTGCATGGTGCAGAGCTGGTGTGGGCAGCCGGCCATGAGAGAGGCAGGCAGCAGAGCCAGGGAGTAAATAGCCCCAGTGGCTCCATAGAGGAAACAAAGTAAAGAAAATGGAGTCCAGGCCAGCATCTAGACCCTTGCAACCCAATGCGAACCACACTACAAAAGTGTTGGGTCAGGTGTGTAAACAACCCGATGGGCTCTGGTGTAGTTGGTTCGTATAAGCCTTTACATTTAGGCCCAAGGAGACCTCTAAAGAGAAGAGTCCTTTCCTGTCATACTGCATACTTGTTACTAAAGTTACTCCAACCTGAAGTTTTGACCAAAACATCTTAACTTATGAATATTCAAGGTGGCATTTTTGCCTTGAATCCTCTGCGCGTTTGTCCGACAGTGGCAGCTGGCACAGAAAGTGCCAGGGTTCATAGGCACTGGAGCACCCATGGGGAAAAACTGGTCGGTGCTTAGCACCACCGGCAGCTCCCTGCCCCCCTCCCAGCTCACCTCCACCTCCGCCCTCCCTCCTCCCCTGGGCGCACCGCGTGCCCGCTTTCCCCCCCTGCCTCCCAGTGCTTGCGCTGCAAAACAGCTGATTCGCGCGGCAAGTGATGGAAAGGAGGAGGGGGAACGCGGTGTGCTCGGGGAAGAGGTGGGGCCAGGGCCGGGATTTGGGGATGGGGTCCAATAGGATGGATTCCCATTGACCCACAGGTGATAAAGACAAGAGGTTTTCCCTGCTCCCTCTGCTACGCCAACCTTTCCTCAGTTTGTGTAAAGTTTTATTTGGATTGCAGAAGGGAGGGGAAAGCACTCTGAAAAGTTAGAGGATGAAAAAAGTCTATTTATATCTTTTTTAATTAACCATGTTCTACAATGTTATTAAGCAGCACTCAGAGATGCAGATGTTACTGATTTGATTGGGAAGAGGTGCACTGTGCTGAATATTAAGGAACTCTGGCCCTATAAATAGGTTTAATCACCATCTGAAGGCTCGAAGGAAGTGATGAAAAAGGCATTAATAAGGTTGTAATTAGGCCCTGCAGCAGGCTGCACTCC